TCTGTCACTCCTCCAGTGCGGACACTGACTTCCTTTCTTGCTTGATCACAGTCTACAACAGGGTAGGAGCTCACTTTAAGTTCTGAGGCATTAAAAGGCCTAAAAGGACAGGAGTCAGAAATATGGGATTGAAATCATTGCTAACAAGAACACAAACAGATGAAGCAGTAATGTCACTCAGTTTAAGGATCTAGAATAGTAAAACAGGGCAAAACCCCCAAAGTTTTTAACTTTATCTGTTTAATAATTGTTTAAGAAAAAAAAGCCACAATTTGGCAGTTTACAGACCCTGTTTCTCATTTTTTCCACTGTGACAACTCAGGCATCCATAGCTTTTTGTTTGTTACATACATATTTTCTTAACAGGCCTATAACCACTTTCAAGATCACACAGATGCGCACACAAGCTAACAGGCATCAGAACATGTTCAACTGCAGGGGATAGAAGATTAAACATACCAAACAATTGTCTAAATAAGAGCTTTCAAAAAAAACCCCCAAAAACAACCACAATCACAAAACCCCACTTATTACATGCAAGTTAACATCAGATTTGGGGGGGGGAACGGACATCCACATTAATTTGAAGTGGATTTGTAAAAAGTAATAGTAGAAGGTTTAATAGAGTGACAATAAAATCTTTGAACTTTATGGTGAGCATCTTGTTTCACCACTAAGTTAATTCAAACTTGGTGCACAACATTTTCCTTAAAGGGACATTTGCCACCATTTCTCCTAAAATGCATGGAAATGCCCTAAAAAGAATTAAATCCTACTTTATTCTTCATTTAGTAGTGCTACTGCACTGAATGTCTATGCTACCTGTATAGGTGACCTGAGCAGCCAGCTCAAAAATATAACTTCTACAATCTTTAAAATATCTTGACATTAGAGACACTTCAGATACTCTTTCAATTATAATGTTAAAGAAAAAAAAAACCAAAACACAAGACAACCACAAGCACATGGCACCTCGAGTTTGCTGAACCTCGTGGCTAACATCTTCCCTCAATACATCACTGAGGCTGAAGTGTCGGATTCTAAACAGACCACAGGACACTTGGGTGCAAGATCGACTGATGACAACAGAACATCACTAAAATCTTGTGCAGAGGAGCAAGTCACAGCTTCAGGCTCATGGCTTTTAAAGTAACAGAACAATGACCATGGTTACACATTCTGCTGTGCAGCCCCGAAACACTGAACCAGTCCCTGGCAGGAGGCACAAGAGCCCACAGCTGTGATATTAGGGGAACAATTTAGCTGGGCTGAAGCACGAGTACAGACCATGATCATCACCATCACCACTACACAAGCAGCTGCCTGGTGTGCCATGGAGACATTTGATCTCAAGTTCATCCTCATAGATATGAAGCACATTATGCCTATTAACAATGCTAATGAATGCATTTTGAGTTTCCAAATTAACGTTTTACCAAAGCTCAGTAAACACGCTGCTTGAAAAGATTTGTTATATGCTCAGACCAATCAGGTTTTGGTAACAAATCAGGACACCAAAGAACACAGTTGCATCTATTTTCATAACTGTAAGATAAGGACAATCTGACTTCATGCAGAAGAAAAAAGAAAGATGGAAGAAACATCTACTAGCTCAGAAAAACTGAAGCTATTTAAAAAAAAAGCTCTGCAAAGGGCAAGAGCAAGGGTGGACAAAGAACTTTTAAAAGGTTAGAAACTAACTCTTGACATAGCAATTAGTCTGTGAACAACAACAACAGAACACTCCACGCTGGACAGTCCTAATGCTACTTTCATAGTGAGCATAATATTTAGTTAAAGTAGACATTAATACTTGATAAAGCTACTCCAGCTTTAATTAAGAGAGATAAAAACAAAACAGCTGCTCTTGACAGTATTTCAAATCCAATTGCTCCAATAAACTTATTCTCTTGCAATAGCCTTAAGTCACATCAACACTTTCACCATATTTGTTTCAGAAGCTTTATAGTTGCATTGCAAAGATAAGGCTAAATTGATTTTTATTTCTATATTCATTGTGCATCTGTAAAAGCAGAACTCGAAAGCTTGAGAATATGACTGTAAATAGCATTAAAACATACTACATAAACTAATATTTGCAGGTCTGGCTCAAAAAACCCCAACTTCTAAAGGTGATTTAAACACTATACATAATGCATTACCAACATTACAGTTTGAACAGACAATGCTTTAAGACTATTTAAAATCTAGTATAAATAAGCAAGCCTTTAAAACCACATCAGCATTACAAAGAGAACCTAATTTTCTGGTACCTGAAATTTATAATTTCATACAAAAAAGTAAATTCATGTAATAAACCAAGACATTTGGTCATTTTTACTTCAACAGTAGACCGCCATCCCATTGTTTGTCCCCTGGAAAATCTGCATCAATGAAGTTATGTGACAGATATACCGTAGTGGGAGTTGCAACATTTTTAGCTGTTAAAGCTTAGCGACTTCCCACAGGAACTCATAGAAGGACAAAATTTAGCCTGGGTTTGTCTCGAATATCACACTAATTCTGCGTAGCTCTTCTTGAGCTTCCAACGCAGCTTCATACTGGATATGCGCTGCACGAAGATCGGAAACTGCAGCTTTTTGCCTTTTTAAGCTATAAGAAAATCGCTCACAACAGCCTTACTTCTGCGGAAGCGCCGCTTCCCCGGGAGGCACACGGGGCCGCCTCAGCCGCAGACCGGCTCCCGGGACAGGCAGCGCCCAGCGCGACGCCGAGGCCGCTCAGGGGCACGGGCGGCTCCCTCGCAGCGATCCCTCCGGGCGGACACACCGAGCCCCCGGAGCAGGTATCCGCAGCCGGACACAGCGGCGCGGCAGAGCCACAGCTGCACAGCGCCTGTCACACGGCGACGGCCTCGGCCCGCCGGCCCCGCGGGCTGTCAGGGTACTGAGCAGAGAAGGCCTAGGCCCGAGTCCCGGAGGCACCAACGCGGGACCTCCCCGGGGCTTGCCCGCGGACCGGCCCCCAACGCTCGCCCAGAGAAGGGCCGCCGTGCTCACCTGCACCGCACCACCACCTGGATGTTCTTGCCCTTCTCCTCCTTCTTGGTGCCGCCGCCCTGGGAGCCGAAGGAAGCCATGGCGGGACGGGACGGGCACCGAAGCGCTACCGCGGAGCCGGGACTCGGTTCGGCCGCGCGCGCCCCCGCCAACGCCGCTTTGAACCGCGCACGGCCCGGCCCGGCCAATCAGCGGCGGCCCCGGGGCACCACGGGACGGGATTTCAAATCCTGGGGGTGGTTGCCTCGCTCCGGCACCGTGAGGGCGGTGCGTGAGAGCGGGCCGCGTTCCCCGAGCCCTGCGCTGCCGCTGAGCCGTGACGCGCTACCTGATGTCCACCCACTCCTACCGCACGGCTCGTCTGCGCCGCCAGTACCTCGAGGGGCTAGCAGGACAATGTCTGGCGTTCTCTGCGGCTGCCGCTGGCACCCACGGGTCTGGGGGCAGCCAAACTCCTTGCCTGCCATTAATCTTCCGTTTGTTAATCCATATAACCCTTTCTCACAAGTCAAGCCCTCCCGCCATCCGTTCTTCTGTACCCCTCTAGCTCTCCAGCTGGCCCACGATTTCCTTAAACATCACGACAAATAAACACAACTCGCCGATGCCTTGTGGAATTGTAATGTTTAAAGCAATACCCAGGTTTCTATTTACCCAGTGGGGCACAGCTGTCCCCGCGGCCGGAGGGGCCCCGGTGCAGGCTGCCGGGCAGACCCCATCCCCAGCCGTGCTCTCTGGCCGTGCCTGCAGAGCTCTGCTCCGCCCCCTCTGTGCCTTGTGCAGGCTTCAGCTCAGGCAGGTCTCCAGCACAACTCGTCTGTGTTGGTCTGAATTCCACACCTAACTTTCCACATGTTTATAGGTCGGTATTGCCTTATAGGGTGGGCAAATCCTATGTAAAAATGAAAATAAGTAGTTACAGGTTCAGGACAAAGCACCACGGGTGCATCACATCCACCCTTTTACTTTGAAACTACATCATGTGAACCACTTTGCCATTTACGTCACCCTCGCTTCTCTGTCAGAGCTTCCTCTGAGGCACTATTAAATGCTGTGCTAGGTGGAGATCTATGACAGGATAACAGGTCTTCTGGGTAGAGGGGAAGGAGCAGATGTTAGAAGAGATTCAACTTGTCTGATGTTGTTTTTTTGTTAAATACATACTGGCTCCTACAGACTGTCATCTACCTGTAACGACCTGCAGAGCTACAGTGCTTTGCTCTTGTTCTAGGGCCTTCACAATTTCTGAAATTTAGTTTATCTATATAATTTTGCAGGTGTCCACACCCTTTTTTTCCCTAAAGTTAGCTGCTTTGAATCTTATTACACTTCTCTCCTCCATGAGTCCTTAAAATTAATAACAAATGAATCCTAACCCATAAGGCTTGCAGTAATTTTCCTGACAGTGATATGAAGCAACATCCCATTAAGCTCCTCTACCATTTATCTGAAGAGTTAGAACAATGTCAGACCCAATCAATCTTAGATTAGGTGCGAAGAACAAACAATGAACACTAAAAATCACACCAACACATTTTGCTTCAGCTAAGTAAAGATTTAACCAAACAGGAAAATAAATATAGTCCATGGCAAACATATTGAGAGACTACCTTCATTATTTGCTTTTTTGTGTACTGTCTATGCTAACTGCAAAAATCACTGGCACTGACAGTTGTGTAGTAGCTACTGCTAGACTGAAAAGTCAAATGCAGGTAGCAAATAATCTAAATATTTACCCTTTGCTCTATACTCCTTCATATGGATCACACAAAAGAAGGCAGCACTGGAATACAAGAATTCCTCCAACTTCTGCTTGCTTGTTCTTTTCTAGTATGAAAACCGTATTTTTCCTGAAAATGTAACATCACTCACAGAAGAGATCATTCAAACCTGCATTAAAACAATAAGAATTTATTTGATTACTGAAAGTTAAATTTGGCCGGTAGCTACCTTTGCTACAGGTGTGGTAAGCAGAAAACATGTATTTTTGGTAATCAAGTTAGCTTAAAAAAACATACAGATTAATGGCTGCAAGTCTGTTTTACAAGGTCAGTTTATAGCATAGGTTGTACATTTTCTTAGACTAGGTAGAGCCTAATGATACTAATACACTATAAACTGAGTAACAGGGAGCTAGCATTTCTCAAGCAATAAAAATAAATATGAGAAAAAGGAAACAAGAATATTTAGGCCACAGTCTTAACAGTCGTTGGGAGAATGACCATTAAGAAGACAGGTACTTCATCTGTGACAAATGTTTTATTTTGTTTAAAGAGAGACAAAAACATTACAGAAACCTAAATTGTATAATAATACACACAACAGCAAATGTAGCAATTTTAGAAGAGGGCATTAATCCCCATGTATGGATCAAGAAGCACAATTTTTAACTAAGGCTTGCAAAGAAAAAGTAATTGAATTACAGTGATATTCACAGACAAAACAAACACTGTTTTCCTAAGCTCTGTATCAGGTCACCTGGGGAATTGTAGGTATGGAGGTCTGAAAAGTAGTAAAACTGTTTACATGGAACATGATTACCTATGAATGAAGAAAGGTTATATAAGGTATAATAATGGAGAGATATAATTAATACAAATGATAAGGTTGGGTGAGACTTCTTCAAGGCTTAGTAACATCTGATTTGATTGCAAACGTGCTACACAATGTATCACCTGTACTGGGCATGTGGAGAGTTTAATACTTAATACTATCAGTGACATAGTAAAAAAATTGCTAATTAATTGCATATTCACATTAAAGGGGAAAACACCTGCACCTCAGATAAACATAAAGCAAATTCTAGCCTTTAAACAGCCTGACCAGTTGGCCAGTAATATTCTAAACTCTGTGTTGTCCACATGCAGTAAGTTAAACAACAAGGATTTACTCTCAGAGAGTACTGGTATATTCTCAGCTGAGGAAGGGGTTCCCCTTCAGTCAAGGTAAAAGGATAAATATGTCACTGTTAAAAGAACTGAGAAAATGCAATAACAGAACTACCTTATTGTTAAAAATTAAGGATTCAGTGCATATAACAGGATTAAAACCAGAACTGGTTTCACCTAACCAGGAAAATACACAGAATGAAAGAGTTCTTTTTTTTTTTAGGCATGTGTGCCAGATCACTGTCCAACACAGACAGTAGCACTTTTATAGCTTTTTAAAGTCACTGTAATAAGAAATTAGCAGTAACATAGGGGGATGTATGCATTTGTGTGATTAAAGTTAAGCTAGTAATTTTCCATACAGTTACCTATTTTCAGTTAAGACATGCAGCTGGATGACATCCTTTACACAACAAGAAAAGAAACAATGAATAGAAAAATTGGAAACACACAGACTTGACAGCACTGACTGAAGTCAACAGGAAATGTCTCTTTCACCTCCTTATCTTCTAACTTAATTCTTTTATTAATTTATTCATTCAGTATTTTTATCCTGAGAACAACCAATGGACAATCCTTTTTTCATATATGTCTTGTTATGAAATTGCCACTATTTATTTTGGAGTGGAAATAACAATCATAAGTTATGCTTTTTTTTCAGCCCAAGGCCAGTTTGCTACAAAGCTCTATTTATACAATTACAATTCGAATTTATTCCAGAATTTTATCTATGTGGAAAAGACATGCTTCCATTAGAAGCCTAACAAGACTGTACTTAAGAGTTTCACACTTACTGTCTCTCAGCTTTCAGGCCATACATAAAATACTGTTTCATTCTAAATTATATTTAACCTACCTACTTTGAAGATCACTTTCCCTCACTATACATTTTATGTCACATATCCTGAAGAGGGATCTCTACACTGCTACTTCATAAGGTTTTTTCATAGGAGTATTTGAACAATTTCCACACTTACTCTAAATTATGCTTAGGCTCATTTGGTCTTTTAGGCAACATCTATTTTTCTACTAGGGCAGATAAAGAAGGCAAGACCAAAAGCACCAATTGTCTATGAACAATTAAAGTTTCATGGGGAAGAAATCTTAGTTGCAGGACCAGCCTGAGAAAGGAATTTCACTGAAAGTCCTCTTTGCTTCTGCTGAGGGTGTCCTATTAAAATTGTATTTCAAACACAGAAAAAATATCTAAAACAGTGTATGAGTGTAATTTTGGCTAGTATAAATGGACATAGAGAGGGGTCAGAGTATAAGAACACAATCTGATTTGAATAAACACCAGTATGTCCTGGTTTTGGCTGGAATATAGTTGATTTCTTCTCAGTAGCTGGCACAGTGCTGTGTTGTGGATTGTCAACATAAGAATAATATTGGTAACACATTCATGTCTTGATTGTTGCCAAGTCGTGTTTATCCTGCATCAGGGACTTTCTTGTGTCTCATTCTCTGCCAGTGAGGAGGTGGAGGGGAAAAAAAAAGCAGGGAGGGAGCATAGCCAGGACAGGTGACTTGAACTGGCCAAAGGGATGTTCCACACCATAAAATGCCATTCCTAGAATATAAACTGGGGAATTTTATTACCAGTTACACAGAAGGGCTGATTGGGCCTGGAGACAGGGTCTGGCATTGGTTAGCAGGTGGTGAGCAATAGTATTGTGCATCACTTATCTTTTTCTTTTTATCATCATTACTATCATTATTTACTATTATTTTTATAATTTGTTTCAGTTACTAAATTGTTCTTATTTCAACCGTCAAGTTGTACTGTTGATTCTCCTCCCCATTACACCGGGATGGGTGGAGGGGAGGAGATGCTGCCTGATCCTTAGTTACCGGCTGGGGTTAAACCAGGACACACCAGTGCCTTTGAACAGCCGCTAAATAAGCTTACAATGGATAAAATAGGTGTAAAGTACAGTAGGCGTGACCCCTATTGCATACCTCTGCTGCACTAGCGATGTTAGTTGCATGAGGAGGTGTGATCTCCCATCACACTGCAGAAACAGAAGTGCTTGTTTTAGAGTCATGTTTTAGCAGACCATAGGAGTCCTGCTGGCACAGTCTACCTTGTTTCCCCAGGATTGCCCCTGTATATACTAGGGAAGATTTATAGGAAAATGAAGGATTTATCAGAGCAGCTAAATATAGATCAGGCCAGCATTAGCTAAATATATACTACATCAGGCTAACAAACTCGCTGTCGGGACGCAAAAAGAGTAAATTGCCTGAAACTGTACAATTCTATAGCATTCACCTCTACATGACAACTGTATTAACGCTAAAGGCAGAAGTATTTCTACTGTACATTCAATGTAACAGAACGACTCCAATTCACGACCTCTTAATCCCCCAGCTGCTCCTGAAAGGGAGGAGACAGATTGTGAAGGGGCACTCACCCTGCAGTCCTTCTGTCAGGCACCACGGGATGAGCCTCTCTGACGCACTGCCAACAGCAACAGGGTGGAATTCAGATTTAACAGCTCACCATTTATCCTGTCCTCTTTCTGTCCAGCTTGGTCTTCACTTTTACATGCACTAGGGACTGGAAAAAACCCAGACTGCCTCAAACTAGAATCCCATGAGGACATTTTCACAGGAATTAACATACTGTGTTAAAATTAGGCACCCACACAGTTCTAAATCCAAACAGTTGATTGAGGTGAAAACTACCAAATGCCTTGCTCCAACCAGGATGAGTTAACTTGAGAGACAGTTCCATGTCTAAACTGAGGCCAGAAGTGTGGGTGTACTTGATGTAGGCACAAATGTTTTAAACTGGGTAGCTCAGGTAGGGGTAAGAGCATCTCTATAGCAGCACAGACCTCCCTGGAAACCAGCAGATCAACGTCTACCCAAATTCCCTGACAGATTTTGTTGATTCCTTGTTGATTCTGCTGACCATATGAAACAGTGTGCTGCCACTTCTTAACAGCAATTTTAACCAAAGCTGACTAGTTTAAAGTTACTTTTGATATCTCTTCAATTCCATCTTTGGGTACAGAAATTACCTTAGGTAACTAGTCTGGCCATGTCTTCCTACATTTTTATGATAGGAGGATTCTGTGAATTTCCAGCTGTGAGATACCACCTTTTATAGAAGGCAAGCAGTGGGGAAGCTAAAATCAGGCATTAAATGTAGCACATCTTGTCTTACTTCTTTTCCCCCTCATAACTCTGAAAAATAAGACACAGAAAAATAAACACATATGAAGAAAGCTATTACCAGAACTTCAACTAGTGGGTTGTTTTGGTTGTTTTTTTTTTTTTTTGGGGGGGGGGGGGGGAGGATGGTGGTGGAGGAGACTTGTTTGTTGGTTGGTTTTGTGGTGGTTTTTTTTTTTGTTTGTTTGTTTTTTGGTTTTTTTTTTTTTTTGTTTTTTTTTTTTTTTTTTTGGGGGTTTTTTTTGTTTTGGTTTTTTTTAAAAATTTTTTTAATTTTTTTTTTTTTTTTTAATTTGGGGGGTTTGTTTTTCCTAGAAAGGATTTAAAGCAACCAGCCACATCCACGACTTTCCCATAAGGAAATCTACCAAGGAAAAAAAAGTCGCCCCAGAACCCCAAATCTACGGGTTTATAACAGAAGTGCAACCTTTTCCAGCGTTTACACCTCGTAAACCCATCCTGCGAGGCGAGTCCTGTGTCCGGCGCGGCGGGGCCGCAGAGCTCCACGGCAGGTGAGCGGCGGCCAGCGAGATCCAAGGGGAACTCCCGAAAGAGGGAGAGCTGCCGGAGGGCGACCTCGCCCTGGGGGACGAAGGATTTTGACACCCGAAATCTCTGCCTCTCACGACGGCACTGCACCCACTGTGCTCAAATTACGAGGCGTCTAATTACCCTTTGTCTTGGCAGACGCCGCCAGGGACGCGGAGCGCGGCCACCAGGAAGCGGGCGGGCCGCGACACGGTCCCTCCGCGGGTGCAGCCCGGGGCCGCCCTTCGCGCCGCAGCCCCGTCCGCCTCCGCCGGGCGCGGCCCCCCC